ATGTCGTTGTTGAGACCGCCGTCCACCGTCAAGGTCGAGCCGGCGCCGACCCCCATCGAGCGCTACTCATGAACCAGGGTGGTGCGTGAATGGGTCAGCGCACCACCTGTCTAGTTGGGGACGACGCCAGCGCAGGAGTGGACCTACCTCAATCAATGGCGGCAGTAAAGGCTGGCCGAGGAGCGCCGCAAGGGCGAGTACCTCGAGCAGCTGGAGCGCGACGCGAAGGAGGACCTTCTTGCCTACGGTGGACCAGCCTAGCCAACGACCATACAGCCCGCGGCGGACGATGTCGCTAGAGCCTGGTCGACGGCGTTCTCTTGGACTGGCCCGGCGTCGACGCTCATCGACCTCACTGGCCCCGACCACGACGACGAGGATGCCTAGGACAACGCGCCTCCTTGTAGTTCTTACTTTTATTTAATGTTTTAGTTAATGTAAAAAAAATGGACTCATGGACTCTCGCCGGTCTTTGTGACCGGCATTAATGTTTAATTAATTTTTTTATTTTTCAAAATGTTTATGGTAATGGGTTTTTTGTGCGACCTTAAAAATGAGTCAGACCAGCGTTGAGTGTAAGCAACGACCCAAACACAAAAGTGATCATATGTCTGTCAAACTGACTCAAACAGATAAAAAACAGACCGAATCTTCGTTGAACCGGAGCGCTGGAGTTGCTCTAGGGAAGCAATTTCGTTTTACAAAAATGATGTCCCGGGATTCGCTCGCACGGGCCACTCCTTCGCTCTGCGTCACAAACGTATTTTTCTGGCCTGCGATTCAATGCGCCGCAGCACGCGATAAGCCTACGGGATACGGCTCATCTAGGCCGTCCGTTCGTCTCCATTTCAAACCCTCTCGCCCACCCAACGGTCGTCTCGCAGCATCTCTCACCCACGGACCCACCATTACTTCTCTCGCAGGCATGTGGGCCAGCAAATGGTGGACCCACGGGTCAGCGAGACGCTCCCGCTGCATAAATCCGCACCGGGAACCGTCTCATTTCAGCCACACGCGAACCCTAGGATAGACATGGCCAAGAAAAAGTCCTCCTCCGCCGCCGCCGCCGCCGCCAACGGCAACGGCAACGACTCCGCCGCCGCTGCCAACAGCAGTGGCAACGGCAGCCACGCCGCCGCGGCCAACGGCAACGGCAACCACGCTGCCCCGGTGCTGGCGCCGGGGATGGAGGAGAAGCGGGACCCATCGCCGGTACGGGACCGGAAGGCGGAGCAGCTCAAGACGCTCAACTCCATGCTCCTCAAGGAGGCGGTCGAGCGGCGCGGCCAGGTGGCGGCGCTCACGGCGCGCCTCGAGGAGATCTCCGCCGATGGCGACGCGCTCGACGCTGCCGAGCGCGCAGTCGCGCAAGCCGCCCTCGCCGCGCCCCTCCGCGCCGCGGCCGACGAGGCATCCGCGCTCCGCGCACGCCTCGCCGCCGTCCAGGACTCCCTCCGGCTCGCGGAATCGAAGGCCGCGCTTGAGGCGGGCGCCAAGGACGATGCCACCGCGCGCCTTGAGGCGGTCGCTGGGGAGAAAGCACGGTTCCTGAAACTTCTCCAGGTCAAGGAGGCGGAGGTGGCGTCCATATCCAACAAGGTCGCGAGCCTGTCGGCCATGATGGCCGAGTTGGAGGGCAACAATTCCGAGCTATTGAGTCAGAATGGCGAACTCATAAAGCAATTGGGGGAGACAAAGGAGGCGGTTCGGGTGGTCTCCTGCCAGAAGGCAGAGGTGGAGAGAAGCTTCCAGGAATTCAAGAAAGAATCTGAGGCGTTCCGGGTGGAAATGGAGGGGAAGTTGAAGGTGAAGGTGGAGGAACTGAAGGTGCTGGGATCCAAGAAGGCGGAGATGGATGCAAGGGTGGCCTCTTTGGAAACAGAGCTCGCATTGTCTGTGACTAAGACAGGGGGGTTAGAGGCTGAAGTAATGGCAAAGAAGAGGGAGCTTGATTTGTTGAAGGGCAAAAGTGATAAGCTCCAATCAGAGGTTGCTGAAGCAGAGAGGAAACACAGCATGTCTGCAGAAGAGGTTGAGAGGCTCAGGATGGAATTGGGTGTGTTGGTGAAGGCAAAGGAGGTTGCTTCCAAGGCATTTGATGCTGAGAAGACTGAAATCATGAAGGAATTGGAGAGCCTCAAGAGGAAGGTGGAGGAAATCCAGGCTGACAAGGAGGCGGCCAAGGGGGTGACACGTGAGAAGGATGCTCAGACCGTTAAGTTGAGGGCTGAGTTGGAGGAGCTCCATGTTTCCATGTCACAGCTCCAAACATCATGTGATGAACTTGATACCAAGCATTCACGCCTGCAGAGCGAGAAGAATTCAGTTCAGAAAGCACTGGATGCTGAGAAGGCTGAAGCAGGGAAGCTGATGTCTAAAATCAAGGCACTGGAGAACTGCAATGGTAAAATGGATGGCGAGATTGGAGAGTTGAGGATTGCATTGAAGGAAAAGAATGGGAAGATCGAAGCCCTTACCAGTGAGGCTGAGGAGCTGCAGCTCGCAGTGACTGAAGCGCAGAAGAAGAACAAGGGTGGTATCTGGGTGTGGGTGTATGCCGCCACCACCACCATGGTGGCCGCAATCTCCCTGATCTATGCTGCCAGGGGCCATTGAAGGAGTGCACTTTTCTTTTTCTTTTTTCTATGTTGATCCTCTATTTGCATGCTAGTATGCCACTCGAAATGGTCAGGTTGCTATCTTAGCTGCATCACATATGATGAATCGGCTGGTACTATGGAATGAAATCAATTTTTTGCTTGCATTCTGGCAATATGTTTGTTCTTGTTGCTGTTGATGTTCATGTGTTTCGTCTTTGAAGTTCTGTACCATGATGATTGCTGGGTGTTTTGCTGTCAGGGCAAGCATTATGGGTATATGGGGATTTCCTGTTGGTGTTGTTTTCTCATATCGGCTTGCAAAATGGACCTTGAGCTGGTAGGATGTTATAGTTGTTACTTGGCCAGTACTGGGATGTGTTAGACTTCTTCCAGTGCTTGGTGATAACTAAACTGAGAGTTGTATTCTCTCATTTTTAATTTGCTACTTTTTGCATTGGCACTACCTTTGCATCATGAGCAAATATTCGTGCGTCCTGTCTGATAGCACTAGGACACAAGGGTTGCTTTCCAGTTTCCACAGAATATATGGTTGTATGGTGGTGATGATATATTGATAATATGTTTCCCATTGTAACAACTACTGGTTTCGTTGTCCTGTTTTTGCTCATGTATGTAGAGAAATGCAAAGGGCCTTTTCTGAACCACGTGAAAACACTATGAAGAGGACCAAAAGGGATCTCAACGTCACTTCAAAGTTGACAAAAGCACAAGGAATTGTCTCTCTTTGAAGTGTTACATAGCACCAAGTTGTACGGCATCTTCCTGGGATACGTTGAGGTAAAAGCTTTGGGTGTATTGCTTGAGTGTTGGTCATTCATATAGGTTAGAAGATAATTTAAGTTCCTGTCAAGAGAAAGATAATTCAAGCGAAGAAAACAGGGTCGTAATAGACATTAGTGTAATACTAGAATACAGAGGCACAGAACTACGCTTTGTCTTAAGGGTTAGGGTTTTCGTGATAATTTACGCACTGCACTTGATTCAACCGGCTCCCTCCTCTGTACTCAGAATAAACAAAGACTATATCTTGAGATGAAAATTATTCTGTGCTTGCTATATTGCTAAAAATGATTGGTCAGATGGGTAACAGTGTACAGCTTGTTTGTTCTGTGCTCTATATTGCTAAAATTATTCTATGCATAACTGCTACCCCCTCCGTTTCAAAATACTTGACTTTTATTTGTCCAAAAATGGATGTACCTATATACTAAAACATGTCTAGATATATCTATATTTTAACAAAAGAAAGGCATGTATTGTGGAACGGAGGGAGTACATTGTAGAGGATTTCTGGTCTGGGTTGTGTTGGCATCCTGGAGCCTCGAACCACTGAGGAGGATTACTGAACAATTTATGCTGAGAATGGTGCAAATTGAACTTACAATCATATTCTCATGAAACATTCAGGAAGTTTTGCAAGCCTTTTTTTTTGTGTGTGTGGAGGGGAAGAAGCTTACAAACTTGCTTGAAAGAAATAGTACCGTCGCACTTCCGAATCTTGCCATGACTGAAGATATGCAGGTGTTTCAGTGCTAAAAAGGATTCTAAGCCTTATATTCAATCTACAAAAGGGCACTCACACATCATCATGAATTGCTGTTGGGGTAAGCACCAAATAGCTGAATTGAACAATCACATTTGCCAACAAGAACAAACTTGGGCATTCGCTTAACAGAAGAACGCCCACGGGCCAGAAAGTAATCCACAGGATCACAACAGTCCAGCGCCATTCATTAATCAGACTAAACAGAACTAGCACCTCCGTTTCATGCAGATTAACAAGACTTTTTCACATTGACAAATCACAGGGAGTAATAACGAGAACTAGATTGCTAGTATTCCATTCCAATCGGATTCATCGTCGATACACCAAACAAAACATTCGCCCAGAACTAATCCAACAACCTAAAGCATCGTCATGGTAGAAAAGCAGTACATAGCTACCTTGCAATTATGAATTCAATGTGCTAGTTGAAACAACTTCCACTTTGAAAATGGTATCATGGGACGAACAGGATGATGTGCTCACTATATTGCTAAAATGATTGGTAACATCTTACTGTTTCTTTTATCCTTGTTAGTCTGCAAGATTCTACGCTTGACTGCTACTCCCTCCGTTCCAAATTACTCGTTGTGGTTTTAATTCAAATTACTAAAACCACAACGAGTAATTTGGAACAGAGGGAGTACATTGTACTGCCAGAAAATACTCTCTGGAACAGCATTCAGACTCAAACTGTAAAAACATGTTTTCACCATTCATTCCGCATCATAGACATCAATAAGATGTTTTCACGTTGACATATCACGATGAATAATAACAAGAACCAGATTGACCCAGAACGTTGTTAGATTAGTTCTAGTTTGATCTGCGAGGTTCTAGAACTCCTGGGACGCGGAGCCGATGTCGCCCTTGCCCTTGCCGACCTTCTTGGGGAGCAGCGTGGTGTGGATGTTGGGCAGCACACCACCGGCGGCGATGGTGACCGCGCCCAGAAGCCGGCTCAGCTCCTCATCGTTGCGGACCGCCAGCTGGATGTGGCGCGGCACGATCCGGGTCTTCTTGTTGTCGCGCGCAGCATTGCCGGCGAGCTCCAGGACCTGAAGAGAAGAAAACCAAGAATCGAATACCCGTGAGGGGACAGAAGAGGAGAATGCCTATGGGTAACGAAACGCGGAGAGGGTTGATGCGGTTACCTCAGCGGCGAGGTACTCGAGGACGGCGGAGAGGTAGACAGGGGCGCCGGCACCGACGCGCTGGGCGTACTTGCCGATCTTGAGGTACCTGGCGATGCGGCCGACGGGGAACTGGAGGCCGGCCTTGGAAGACCGCGAGACGGTCTTGGACACCGCCTTGCCCTTGCCCCTCCCGCTGCCGGCAGAACTCATCTTCTCGTCGCTACGAAGGGTGGACGCGCGGATACGGTGGTTGCCGGAGAGATGGCCGGAGTCGGACAGATTGTTGAGGGATGAATGTGGAGATGGTGTGCCCGCGGGGGCGGTGGTGTGATTATATAGAAGGAGGAGGCGGTGCATGATTGGTGGGGAGGGTTAGGCCGTGGATCGGTGACGTGGAGGGGCACGATGCCGTCGGATGGAGGACGAGGAGGGGAAATTTTGGGGGATTGGCGCGGATCAGGAGTTTGGAGGGAGGCGGAAAATTTTGGAATGGAAAGTGATTAGAGGGGGGGAGAGCACGGGAACTCTCTCGGTTTGGGGTGTTTCGTCCAAGATGGGCCCATGCGTCAATGGCTTGTGGACTTACTCTCTCCGGTCTTTTTTACTTTGCATATAAAAATTATCTGAAGTCAAATTTAGTAAAGTTTGACCATATTTATATGAAAAAATATCAACATCTATAATGATAAAGTTATGCAATATGAAAATTTAAGTTATTGCGCATCTATTGATATTGATTTCACATTGTGAATGTTTGTATTTTTTTCTGTAAAGTTGGTCAAATTTTACGAGGCTTGACTTCAGACAAATCTTATATGCGAACTAAAAAAGACCGGAGGGAGTACTGTCGTACCTGGACCATGTGACACGTGGCTAACTGCTTGTTTGGCTCATGCCATTGGGTTGGAATTCACGGATTTCATTTTACAATTCCAGCCCAACTTGTTTGGCTGTCGCGCAAGGATAGCAATAGGCACATATTGATCGGCGTCCGATCCGGGCAGATGCGAGTCTCGTGGGCCGTCAGATTTGGCCAAAAAGTTTGCCCCACCGCCCTTTTCCTCTACCTCTTGCGCACATTGACAATCAGTTCACGCACATGCCTCCGCGCTTGCCGACCGCCCGCGCTCTCGACGTCCCTCTCACCACTAAGGAAGACACAAAGTTGGCCGCAAAAACACCTCCTTGTCAAAAATGGGCATATTATACCTACTGACTTTTTTATCCTTGATATGCCCGAAGATGAAAAATTATCAACTACTCTTGGTAGGCCATTATTGAACACCACAGGTCCAGCATTGGATTGTGCAGAAGGGAAAGTAACCTTCAGAATTTGCGATGAATAAATAGTGAGGTATTTCCCGAAGAAGCCCAAAATGAAAGAGAAATATATTTTCGCACCTAAAAATGTATGTGCGGTAAGTAGAGAGAATCGCAGGCCACTGGAGACCTGAAATGATACTAAGGTATGAGGTTAAGCTTAGCAACCTAAATACCAACACTTAATGGGAGGCAACCCATTATTTTGTCTTTTTCTTTTTGCTTTGATATTTTGCTCTCATAAATAACTTGATGAATAACTCTCGAAAAAGATTGTTTTTGACTTTGTGTTGTAGGAGAAAATCGAGGAAAGAAGACACTAGAAAAAGGCTAAGGAGAAAAGAAAACGGGGAAAAAGACGGCGTATCATGCGAACATCTGCGGTCGTTCAGGCGATCGCATGAATAAAGGAGGACACATCAAACAACGGTCGGAGCTATCAGCGGTGTTCCATGTGACCGCTCACACTTGTATGCGGTCGTATGGAGCCGTCGTCGAAAATCGCCAACGACATTCAGCACAGGAGATAGTGTTTCGTGCGATGGCTTGCGCCTGCATGAGCGGTTGTATGAAGCTTTAACCAAAATGCGCAAAAAGGAAATAGAGCAAACAACGGTCTTTCATACGGATGCACGAGCTCGTGTGACTATTTGTACAAAATCCTACCTCGAATGGTTTTCAGCTCTGATGTGATTGACGGTGTTTCAAACGAGCGCTCGCCTTCGTATGAGCGCTCGCATCCGTATGAGGAGGATTCAGAGGCAGATGACCATTTCTATTTCCCCTGCGAGGTGTATGCTCAAACTTGGCAGGGTTATATTACTCATATCATGCATATGTTGTATTGCAATGCTTAGTTTTTACATCATATACACGATATTGAATGCCATCTCCTTAGTTGACACATCATATATGTGATTGCCCTCTGCTCACTTGCTTAATATATAAATAATATATTTGAATTATATCATGCCATGATGTTTACATAGACAACATGTATCTGAATTATGGCATGTCAAACCCATTTTCTAAAGACATAATATAGTTATATCATCTCATCCTGTTTGCATGGTCATCATATTTTGAATTATATCATGCCATCATGTTTCCAACGGCACGTTTGTGAATTATGGCATGCCAACCACTTTAATAGACACATCATATAGTTATATCATGTCATCCTGTTTATATAGCATCATATTTTGAAGTATGTCATTTTACCATATTTAGTTAGCCATCATATATATGAAATTGTGTCATCTATTATGTTTAATTAGCCATCATATATGTGAAATTATGACATGCTATCCTATTTGGTTAAACAACATAAATGTGAATTATTTCATGCTCTGTTTTCTTCGCTATTGTCCATTGCACCTCTATGTTTACAATGTATGTACATTTAATTTCTTTTCTTGTTTATCAACCATTTGAATTGGAGGGGGTGATGGCAGTATCTATGGGAGTAAAAACACAGTCTTCAGAAAAGATCGTGCTACCCGTCGATGTAGATAGAACCACGATTTTAGTTACCCAAGAACCAGCCCCACCACACATAACCCAGACTCACGCATATTGTACCCCTAACCAGTTGGACAAAGAAGCAGCTACACCCTTTCTAACTCCAACCCCAGCAGATAGTAACCTAGTTCTAGTTGACACAACACCGTCTCCACCATAGAGCATCCAAACACGAGCAGTTAGTAAGGCAACTACAGTGCCCAAAGCACGAGGACCACCACCCCAAACCCCAAGTCAACGCTTAAAGCAGAAGAAGAATTATTCCCAGGTCAGGTTCCGTAGCTATGGTTAATAACCCTTTGCTCTTGCATCACTGTATTTACTCATACCAGCTAATTTCAAATTTGAAGGATGCAATTGAAACTCCAATGGCATCACAGGTATGTTTTAAACATGTTTCTTTAACGTGTTTGTTGTTGTAACTTGCTCTATGTTGATTTTAGTTTCAATTGAATAAACAGTTATGTTCTCATGCCATGCACATTACAAGTGTTGTTATTGCTGTGTAGTTTCCCACATTTATATTTTGCCTATGCTGCTTTGTCTTAAATAGATATGATTTGAACTATCTCTATCTTGATTTGGCAAAATAAACTAGAATGATATAGACCATACAGTGACCATACTACATAGATATATGTTTGTTTCATGTTATTATCATGTCCACCTTACTACTAAACTGGTTTACCAAAATAAGTTTCATATACAATATGGTAAAGTTGTGATCTGTCTGCTTGTTTCTTTTTTAGAATGCAGACAAAATATTGGAGAAAAGTACCCCGTTATGCAATGGTAAAGGAAGTAATGCGGATAAGGTTCGAGATAGTGAGACATGCCTCTTGGTCTCCAAGAAAGCTGATAAAAACTATATTGAAGACACTGATACAATCCCAAAGTCATGTCTTGATGTAGTGTTCGAGTTACTGGCCACTATTGCTGGAACCAGCTCTTTGAACTCGCTGCCTGAATCAGTTCGGCTTCTTGAGTCTCAACTTCGAGTTGAAAGACATCGATCAGATGTGTTGCGACAGGAAGCCGAAGGATTGAGGAAGTCCCTGCAAAATTCAGATGCATACTTTCTGGTGCAACAGCAAGCTGTAACACCCTCGATGCGACTATAGCTCCCACGTGTCGAGGCACGACTTAGAGACATAATCGCATTGAAGGCATATGTCGCAAGTTAGGCAATCTTCACAACATCCCATGTAATATAAATAATAAAGGGGAGAATAACATAGTTGGCTTACACTCGCCACGTCAATCAAGTACACAAATAACATTACATCATCCATACACTCATGGCCCGACTATGGCGCCAAAATAAAAGATGACCCAACATGCGACACGGTCCCGATCACCCCCAACTGGGCACCACTACTGATCATCAGGAAAGGAAACATAGTAACATTGAGAGTCCTCGTCGAACTCCCACTTGAGCTCAAACGCTTCTCCTGGAGCGGAATCATCAGGCCCTGCATCTGGTATAATAGTAATCTGTGAGCCACAGGGACTCAGCAATCTCGCACCCTCGCGATCAAGACTATTTAAGCTTATAGGTAAGGCAAGGTAAATATATATATGGAGCTGCAGCAAGCGACTAGTAGGTATGGTGGCTATCCTGTTCGCAAAAGAGAGCGAGAAGAGGAGGCAAGGCGCGAGCGAGAAACTAAAGAACAACCTGCGCAAACATTACTCCAACACCGTGTCCACTTCCCGGACTCCGCCGAGAAGAGGCCATCACGGTAACACACTCAGTTGATTCATTTTAATTAAGTTAAGGTTCAAGTTGTCTACAACCAGACATTAACAAATTCCTATCTGCCCATAACCGCGGGCACGGCTTTCGAAAATTCAAATCCCCGCAATACTTCTGTTGATACGGCTGACGGAACGGAGGAGGAGGAAGCCAATACTTCTGCTGCTTGGCCACTTGAGTAGAGGAAGAAGGAGTAACATCTCTGACTCGCTTCTTAGAAGCGTCACACCTCAACTGAGCAGCCTCTTGCTTCAATGCCATGTTGTAGAACTCATCGTATCTCAAGGGCTCGAAGAGGACAAGAGCGAGCTGAATTTCTTCTCTGAGACCACCCCTGAACTGATATATCATGCTCTTCTCATCAGGGACGCCCTGCTTGGCAAAGCGGGCGAGCTTCTGGAACAACTTGTTGTAGTCATAGACAGACAAAGAGCCTTGCTTCAGGTTGCGGAATTCCTCACGCTTGCTTTCAACCACGCTCTGAGGGATATGATGAGCTCGGAAATCTTGACGAAATTCATCCCAAGTGATAACACGTCCACCTCTGGAATCCTTGTACTGCTGGAACCATTCTGCAGCTTGATCTTTGAGTTGGAAGGAAGCGAACTTGACA